CTTGAAGCTGACACAGAAGAAGTCATGCATACAGTTCCGACATACATGACAGACTCACAGTGCGTGTTGGTCTCTACGACCTGTGAAGATGTGCAAGGCCACTTGCCGGTGCGGGGTCACCCGCCAGGATACGACATGGACACTTCTTACTACGTTCCTTTGTGCTCCACGGATCCGGACAGCAAATATGATCTGGATTCCGACGAGCACGGGAAGTACATCGAGCTTTGCTTCGCAGCAGACATGTCCAAAGTCGTCCTGTCCGAGCAGCAACACCGATTGTTGGATGACAGCAGCGTCACAACTATGCGAGTATATGTTAGTGCTGCCTCCAAACGTGCCGTGGTCGTCAAGGAAGACGATCTACTCACGAAGGCCGACATTCAAGCGAATCCGGTCAAAGTTTCCAAAGCCCTTTACACAGAATTGAAGACTTGGCTTGACAACAAATGCTTCCAGATGACTGACTTGAGCAAAGCATCGAATATCATGACTTCGCGCTACGTATACAAATGGATGTTTGTCAAGAACGAGAAGGGCGAAATGGAACGGACGATCAGGTTACGCTTGGTACTCCGTGGCTTCATGGATATTGAAGCCTTCGATGTCGAATCCTTCTCTGGCACGGCAAGGAGGTCAAACCAGAGACTGCTCGCAAGTTCTGCTGCATGCAACAAAGCTTGGATCATCGCTTCCCTGGACATCAACATGGCTTTCCTGAAGGGACTGACCTATAGCGAGCTCGCCGCGGCAACGGGCGAGAAAGAGCGTGTGGTGTGCTTCGCACTACCCCCTGGGTCAGCAGCTGTCCTTCGCACGCTGCCAGGCTTTGAGTCATATGACGAATCAAAGCATTGTCTTCGGTGTCTGAAGCCGGGGACGGGCACGAAGGATGCTCCCAGGGCATTCTCGTTGAAGCTCAGGGTCCATCACTAGGAGCTTTGGACTACAGCCTACTTCATACGACGAAGAGTTCGAGATGAGCTCAAACCTCTTGACAGCCAAACACGTTGATGATATCAATATGACTGGGAAGGAAGATTCTATTGACAAGTATGTCAAGTGTGTTGAAGATACGTTTGGAAAGTGCAAACTGAACAAGCACACATACACAAACTGTGCCGTTCGGTACAACAAGACCGATGATGGGAGCGTCACTCTTGATCAGGACGAATACATCAAACAGCTTCGTCCTATCACACATCCAGAACTCACAGGCGCTGATCCTGAGAGCAAAGCGACAAAGACGATTTCTGACATGTTCGTCAGTCTTCGTGGTGCTCTAGCCTATGCGTTGATCACGCAGGTATGGCTGATGGTCTATGTTGTCTCACTACAACGTATCCAGGAACCGACAAACATCCAGGTACGACGACTGAACGCGGTTACCAGGAAATTGCAGGCAGGCCCGAAGAAGATAGTGTATCAAGCTATGACTCCAACAGGAGAGGTCGACCTGCATAGCGACTCTGGCTATCGTCGTCTCAACGGAGATGAAGACGACGAAGTCAAAGGTTACGGTATCCGCGGGGCTAACCTGCTGAGGCGTGGCCACACGCAAGCGGGGAAACCCGTCGTGCACCTGGTGGACGCATATTGCAAGTCTCATCGACTGCAGGTGCGTTCGAGCTACTCTGCGGAAACACTGGCAGCAGCCCACAACTTGGAAGACTGCTACCCGACCATTGTAACGCTCCACGAGCTACACTCGGGACCATTGACCCCCACACAGTTAAAGAACATATTGGAAATGGGTGGTCTATGTATCAAAGTCACTCTGACTATTGATGCCGAGTCTGTCTTCAAGTCTTTGTCTAGCAAAGATCTGAAGAAGCCCACAGAATGTACTCTGCTTGGGCACATTAGCTGGATCCGCCAGATGATGGAGCGCGGAATCGTTGAAAGCGTTCAATGGTGTGACACGCGGGATATGACTGCCGATGGTCATACCAAAGGTAGTATTGACCGCGCGTTGCTCCTACAAGTAATGGCCGGCCAGCAATCCTTCAAGCACGAGCTGAAGAAACATACTCCGTATAGGGCGGGCAGGTCGTCTCAGGACGGCCCTGCCTCCCGAGCTAGCGGGGAAACCCGCATGCAGGTGCGCTCTAGTAGCGAGGAAACTCGCCGGTAGCGAGGCTACTCGCGCGCCCTTGCCTTGTAGGCAGCCGCCGTTGCCTAGCACTGTTTTTCCGTGTAATGTAGAAATGCGGTGCCTGCTCGTCTCCTCCCCCTCCGACTTTAAACGGAGAAGGTTAAAGGCGAGATGTATATCGAGCATGCACCGCTGCCGTGCCTGGCTCAAGCCGGGCCCGGCCTAATATGTGATTGTGCCTCATTGAGGCGCACGACTTGTATCTCAGATCGGAAAATACCTTTTCCATTGACGATGCCCCTTCTATCCTTTTCTCCAGATCCCATGCTTCGTCTTGCTCTCTTGCTCATGCGATATGAGCCAAAGCCTGGGATATGGGAGCGCCTAAGGCGGAACATATATCATGGCTTACCAGTGCGTTTTCGACTACGTAAGACTCGAGTAAGCCGGAACTCGGGTTTGCCGACGTTTCTTGGCGAGCTCGTCCTGGATGTTGACGGTCAGGCTTTTCGTGGTATGTTTGCAGCGGGAGCCCGCGTCGAATTTCAGACTGGGTCTCGCCATTTTCATTGATGGCCCCGAGGGGCCAACCCGAGTCCCCCGTACCCGAGTCTTACGTCTCCCCGAAATTTGCAGGTCCAGCTCGGGTTCGGAAGGGGCTCGCCGGTTCCTCGTGTTTGCTTGCGCTCCTGCGCAATTCTGCCAGGAGGCCCACCCCTCAGGCCTGGGACGAGGAAGGGGGCACTTTTCAAGACGAGAGGCAACGATAGGGGGCCACATGCGAACCTTACCCCTACCCCCCACGATTTCTGAGGGGGAGGGTGGGGTTCACTTCGTGCGGGAGCCCCCTAAACGACGAGGGAACGCCTCCAGAAAAGGGCTCGGCCGTTCCTCAGAAGTGCCGTTCTTGATCTGATTCGGTTGCAGTCCTTAGAGCGCTCGGCCCCCCAATGTGGTTCCTTTCCGTATTCAGCGTTCCTTCTGGCAGCGCCCCCGCTGTAGGCCCCCCAGATGGGGTCGGAGTACGCAGACATTTGGCGTCTCGACAGACATCGAGACGGAGCTGTCTTCCGCGGTTTTCGGCCCCTTCGGGCCCCTCCCGGGCCTCGGTCGGGGCTGTCGAACAGCGACTCGGGAGGGACGCCCGCCCCGGGGGGAAGTGGTCGAGGGGCCAGGGGCTCCAGTCTCGAACAAGTCGAGGCTCCGCATGTCTGAGTAGACTGGGTCGGAGGATCGCGCCGCATCGCCGATGCAGCGCCGACGTCGCCGATGCTTCGCCGATGCTTCGCCGATGCCTCGCCAGAGCATCGGCGATGCAATGGCGATGCAATGGCGATACATCGGCGACGTCGGCGGTGCAACGGTGACGCGAGCGCGGAGAAAGTGAGGCTCCACCTCGAGCACGTCTGGGGCATCGTTACACATTCGACCAAACAACAAAATCGACACCACCCCACCTGCGGCCCTCCATGCCGCGCTACGGCCCATCGGGCGCCGTAGCGTGCACCGCGCAGAAGCCCACGCCAGACTTCCGGGTATACGCTCCGTCCCCTGGGGCCGCAGGTGGGGTGGTGTCGTCTTCTTCCTGATCCACGAGTTCCGACCTGAGCTCGAGACCCGAGCTTCCTGCGGCACGTCCCGAGCTCGGTCGATCCGCGTGGGCCCAGGGGCCCGAAGCCTGACGAAACGCCTGGCTCGAAGAAAAAGATTGAGACGCCAGGATCTCGGCCTGGGTCGGGCGGGGCCAGGACGAGGCTCGTGGCATCGCTCGGACGCGTACATTTTTCCTTCGGCGAGGGCCATCGAGGAGCATCCTTGATCATTTGGCGAAAAACCACGCACGAAACCGAAAAAAACACAAAAAAACAGGGAATGGACGTCCGAGCGATGGCGAGGGCTGAGTGCGTCCCAGAGCGTTCCGGAGCCTTCTGAGAAGGCCGCGGCGCCCGAGACATCCGCCAGAGCCGCCAGACTTCAGAGATTCACGACTTGTCCTCGCCCGCTTGTATTCTCGTCTTGGCTTCGCCCTACGTCTTCTGGTCACCCCAGATGAGCGACACAAGAAAACGGGGTCGTCTGCGCCGACATTGGCGCGTAAGCTGCCCGCATAAGCTCGCGCGTAAGCGCCCTCGTTTCCAGCGTAGCGTGCCGCGCTGGCGGCCCGCGTAAGCCGCCGCGTAGGGTCCCCATGCCATCTCGCGTAAGGCCCTGCCGTTTCCAGGGCCCACCACGTCCCCTCCTTCTTTTAACCTCGTCCTGGCTTTCAGTCGGGCATATCCCTCTACAGGAGGAATCTGCAAAAATAGTCAGAAAATAGTATAGGGACGATTTTTTGATTACCTTTGGACCATTTCCAGCATTTTTGGGCTATCTTCTATTTTTCCTCAAAGCTCCGCCCGTAGGGGGACATGCCCGACCTAATCCTGGCTTCGTCTTGGAGGGTCAGTTTTTCGGAGCCTCCGCAGGCGGTGGACATGGATCTATTCGGGCCCCCCGGGGCCGAAGTAGATCCACATCCGCCGCCCGCTGGGGCTCCAGGGCGTCGGTCCCCGGCGGTGGATGTGGAGAACTCCCCGCCTCGCACTTCGTGGCCCCGTTGTGCAGCCCTCCGTGGCCCCTTACCTGCCCTTCGTGGTCCCATGCAGTGTGTGCCCCTCGTGTCCCCCGCTCGCTCGCGCCCGCCGTGGCCCCATCTGTGCGTGCGCCTCGTGGCCCCGCTGCCCCCCGGGCGAGGGTGAGGAGGAGGAGGAGGAGGAGGAGGAGGAGGAGGAGGAGGAGGAGGAGGAGGAGGAGGAGGAGGAGGGAGGCGGAGGAGGAGGAGGAGGAGGAGGAGGAGGAGGAGGAGCCCGCTGCCCCCCTGTCGGGGGCCCCCTCGCGGCCCCTTCGCGGGCCCCTCCCCGCCCAGGCGCGCGGGCCCCCGGGGGCGCGCGCCCGGGCCCTCAAGGGGGCGGGCAACGCCGCGCTGCGCCGGGGGAGGCTGCTGGCCGCCCTGGACGCCTGGAGGGAGGCCGAGGACCTCGGGGGCGCGGGCCGCGGCGCGCTCGGCGCGGCGGCGAAGGCTCGCGTTCAGAGGCGGGCCTCTCCTCCTGGCCCAGGAGGAGGAGGAGGAGGAGGAGGAGGAGGAGGAGGAGGAGGAGGAGGAGGAGGAGGAGGAGGAGGACAGCTGCCGCCCTAAGTTTGCGCATCGTCAAAAAGAGGGGGAGGAGGGGGATGAGGAGGAGGAGGAGGAGGAGGAGGAGGAGGAGGCATTATGGCTCCTCCCCCAGGGGCGTGCCGTTTTGCAATCCCTGGACTTCTTGTGAGGGTCGGGGGCGGCGTCGGGGTGGTGTGGTGTACCCCTGTTTCCCCGTCTGCCCCGGGGAAGCAGCGCAACATGTACACACCAGGATCCCGTATTCACCAGACTCCGCGTTCCTGTTGCGAATTTCAGCGCAGGGTCGGGAAAAGCGTCGGTGTCTATAGAGTTCGTTTCCCTAGAAAAGGTGCCGATACCGCTACCCTTCGCCCGTTTTCCCCTTTTTTCGGCCTCCTCGGAGGCTCTCTTTGTCACCGCTGGATTCGCCTCGAAATCATGGTCAGAACGCACCCCGGGAGAGGTCCGGGGAGTAGCGGTATCGGTACCTTGTGGTTTCCCCACGTGTGGTGTCGACGCAGCACGCGCAGGTCGTTCTGGCTGGAGACATGCCGCATAACGATTCAGGGGTCTCGAGACGGGGGTCAGTGCGAACGGGGGTCAGCCAGAGCGCCCGATCTTGCGAGGTCCTGCAGGGCCAGGGTTGCACTGGACCGTGTGTGTGTGTGTGTGTGTGTGTGTGTGTGTGTGTGTGTGTGTGTGTGTGTGTGTGTGTGTGTGTGTGTGTGTGTGTGTGTGTGTGTGTGTGTGTGTGTGTGTGTGTGTGTGTGTGTGTGTGTGTGTGTGTGTGTGTGTGTGTGTGTGTGTGTGTGTGTGTGTGTGTGTGTGTGTGTGTGTGTGTGTGTGTGTGTGTGTGTGTGTGTGTGTGTGTGTGTGTGTGTGCAGGATCCTGCGGGATCTTGCAGGGTCCTTCGCATTGGCCCAGGTTTGGGTGCAGGATCTTGCAGGTTTCTGCAGGGCATGGCAAACCCTGGTTTGGATTGACCCAGGTCAGAAGATCCCTGGACGATGACGCGTTTGGGCCGGATGTTTGGGCCTGCTCCTGTGGGTCCCACCGACGCTGGGGCATCGGGTGTCGGACACCCCCGCAGGGGTTCTCTCCGCTGCAGGCATTCTTTGGATTCTGAACCCCTGCCAGTTTTTCAGCAGTGTGACCTGCAGTAGGGTTCACATGAGCCCCAAGATCTGGGCATTGCAATGTTTTCACACTGGGAGTTTTCACCCGTCTGCGGGCCTCGGGATTATCGCAGATCTTTCCAGCTCGAAACATGCCGCCTAAGGATGGCGTTTCGTGATTTCAGTCACGCAAGCATCCGATGTAGTGAAGCCGTCAAGACGGATCATTTCGTTGTTTTCGGCCTTTGGAGCCCAATGTTTACACACTGGGAGTTTTCACTCGTCTGGGGGCCTCGGGATTATCACAGATCGTTCCAGCTCGAAACATGCCGCCTAAGGATGGGTTGTCGTGATTTTTGTCACGCAACTCTCCAATGCAGTGAAGCCGTCAAGACGGACCGTTGCGTTGTTTCCGGCCTCTGGAGCCCGTCACCGGGCCCAAAATTGCTCTGGATGGACAGCCGGTCCCCTGGGAGGCTCGAGGCTTCGGGAACGCCGCGGTCAGACGGTCAGGACAGAGGATCATTGGGAACTCGTCCTCGGGAGTCCTGGGAAGGCCCAGGTGGCCTCCAGAGTACGGTTCGCGAGGCCCAGAGGCCCCCGGAGGAGCTGGGGGCACCTGGGCCAGGACCACTTCTAGCAACACCCGAGTTTTTTTTTTTTTTTTGTGTGTGTGTGTGTGTGTGTCCTCCTCCTCCTCCCTCCTCCCTCCTCCCTCCTCCCTCCCTCCTCCCTCCTCCTCCTCCCTCCTCCTCCCTCCTCCTCCTCCCTCCTCCTCCTCCTCCTCCTCCTCCTCCTCCTCCTCCTCCTCCTCCTCCTCCTCCTCCTCCTCCTCCCTCCTCCTATCCTGCTCCTCCTCTCCTCCTCCTCCTCTCCCTCCTCCTCCTCCTCCTCCCTCCTCCTCCTCCTCCCTCCCTCCTCCTCGTCCTGCTCCTCGTCCTCCTTCTCTCCTCCTCCTCCTCCTCTCTCCTCCTTCTCCTCCTCCTCCTCCTCCTCTCCTTCTCCTTCCTCCTCCTCCTCCTCCTTCTCTTCCTCCTCCTTCTGATGCTCCTCCTCCTTCTCCTTCTCCTCTTCCTTCTCCTAGCACCCGCACCCGATACCCTCCCCTGTTCCTTCCAGGCCGTCCCAGCTCAGAAGGCGCCTTCTCCTGCAGTCGGAGATCCAGGGTGTGCGCCTGCACCGATCTTGGTCGGGCCAGGCCGTGGGGCTCAGGTCTCGAGCAGTGGCGAAGCGTCCCGGCTCGCTTACAGGCCCACCAAAGAATGTTCTAAGAACCCTTTGTGGTCTACAGGAGCTGTTATCAGGACATATCTGGCTGAGGCTGCCTTGATTCAATGCATCGGCGTTATGTTCGAAAGAACATTGGTTTGTCATTCGAACACTGTCTTGTTCTAAGGAGATGTCGTGGTAGGCCTGTAGAAATGCCGGGACGGCCGATCCCTAATCGGAGGTCGGGCCTGCCAGGCATCGGTGTACGGTAGGTTCGCGTCGAGTTGACGCGGCAGCGACCTCGGCGCGGGCGTTCAAGGTTGGATGCCGCCAGCTGCCCATAATCGGCCAATATGGAAGGATCGGGCGATCGGCACGCCGCCCATCGTTCAAGGTTGAAGGATCCACGTGGTGGCAGAGACCAACGCCGGGGTCGTCACGACAAGAACCTGCCGTGGGTGTCTAGGTCGGCACCCTCCCAGAGGAGCTGGCGCTGGAGTCCGGCGACCCCGAGCTGTGGGCCGCTTGCCGCTCGAACGCAGTACTCGGGGAGCTGCGGCGGGGGGAATTCGCCGCGGCCGAGCCTGAAGAAGAAACAGCTGCATAATTACAGTGGAGGCCCCTGCCAAGAAACACCCTGCTTGCCTCCAGGGTGCCCTGGTTTTCCTGGGTTTCGGTGGCTTTGCTGTGGAAGGCGTGACGTTCCCACACCAAGAACAGATGGACGTCCTGGGGTCTCAGGGTTGGGTTTCCTTTGGAAGGTTTCTTGTGGACGGTCCTCCGCTGTACACAGAAAGTTCTGAGGTTTTCCGCACGGATTCTTCGGATCGGCGTTGGGAACCTCCCTCCCCGGCGTTTGGATCGGCGTTGGGATTCTTTGGCGGGCCGCCGGAGGCGCCGTCGGGGGGAGGGGGGGCGGCGCCAAGCTACGAAATCCGCGGGGGCTTCCGAAACCGTATTTTTCGAAGAAGCAGCGCCAGAAACATAAACTTCTGGCGCTCCGCGCGGACTTCCTGGATCTGCGCTGGACCCCCCTTCCTGGCGCGAGGAGCGCGCCGGGGGCGGCGCCGGAGGCGCCGCCGGGGGGTGCACAGCGCAGATCCACGCAATCCGCGCGGAGCGCCAAAAGTTTATGTTTATGGCGTGTGTTTTATTTGTTAATTTGTCTGTCTGTTTGTTTGTTTGTTTGTTTGTTTGTTTGTTTGCGTGTGTGTATATATATGTGTAAATGTTGTACGCAGCTTTCTCTTCTTCCACGAGCAGCTGGCGACGGAGCTCCTGGAGAGGTTCCCCAGGCACGAGAAGGGCCTCTACCGGCGAGGGCTGGCGCGCGAGTCCCTCGGGGACGTGCGCCGCGCCCGGCAGGACTTTGCGCGGGCCGTCGGCGTGAACTTCATGAACGCAGAGGCCCAGGAGCCGCGGACGTGAGCGTCGTGGAGCCGATCTCTATTCGGGGGTGGACAGACCTCCTACCGTTGTACAAACGGCACCTCTATTCGGGTGGGCGAATTCGGCACGCGGTTGTACAAACGTCTGCCCCACCCAGGGCCCGAACAAATGACAGGGGGCGCCGCCTGCCGAGGTCATCGAAGGATCGATCCCCCAGGCGGTGGTCATGGCTGAGCGCTCCTCGGCGGCGCGCCCGCGGGGTCTCCGTAAACAGTTTCTCTCGACGCGTGTTTTTTTCCATTAACTGTCGGGGGTGGACAGACCTCCTACCCTGACACGTCGAACAAGGAATTTGCCGTTTTCGGTTCGCGAGAGGGCGTCGCGGCCGTCGTTTTTGCGGGTCCAGGTCCGTCGGTTTCGGTCCCAGGTCGTTTTCACTAAGGGGAGGTCTACGAAAGGGAGGTTTGTCCAACGCCGATCTATCCCCACCTGGCGTCGCCTTGGTTCCCATAGGGCGAGTTACCTCCCAGATGGGATCTACGATCCAGGGTGGCTTCCCCCTCTTTTCTCCCGCAGTGCATACGGGTTCGAGCGCACCCCCCCCCGCGCTGGATGGGTACGCCAGTGAGCCTCGCAAAGGCTTCGCGAACGGGTCGCTCCCCCCCCCTCCTGTGGTCGTGGCCCTGTGGGCGCGGCGTGGTGGAGGGTGCCGGTGCTTCCCCCGCTCCTCCCTCAGGGTGTGGGATGGTTCGTCGTCGTCGCCGTCGTTGGTCGTCGTTGTCGTCGTCGTCGTCGCCGGCGGCGGCGGCGACGGCGGCATCGGCGTCGGCGTCGGAGTCGGCGTCGGTGTCAGCGTCCGTCGGCGGCGTCGGCGTCCGTCGGCTGCGTCGTCCCCCTCCAACCCATCTGGGGGGTGGGGGGGGGGCCTGTGGAACCCTGGGGCCCATCTCATCGGGGGGGCCTGTAAACCCTCGACCGGGGATCATTTATGCGGTTCCTGTCGGGTTTCGCAGGGTAGATCCCCAACGGGGGGTGGGCTGAGATACAGCGGCCCGGTGGGGATGGGGATCTGTTCAACGATCTTGAGGGCGGCCTGTATGCACCGTGCCGCGTTGGCGTCTCTCGAGGCGTCGTCGATCTTCGATCCAGGAATGGTGCGGTGCGTAGTTTGCTCGGCCCTCGGGGCAGAACGGAGCGATGCACCGTGCCGACTTGGAGCGAGGCGGGAAGAAAGTCCAAACGTGGCACGGGGCATGAGTCGGACGGGGCTCGGACGAGGATAACTCCGTTCCAGAGCAGTTCGGAACGCTCTCAGATCGTTCCGGAACGCTCTGCGAGGGTCGCGGCGCCCGAGACACCTTCCAGAGCTGCAGGGCCTCAGAGATTCTCCATTTACAGTGGAGACCCATGCCAAGAAACATCCTGCTCGCCTCCAGAGTGCCTTGGGTTTCTTGCGTTTCGATGGTTTTGCCATGGGAAGCGTGACGCTCCCACACCAAACATCAGTGGACGTCCTGGGGTCTCAGGGTTGGGTTTCTTGCGGAGGTTTTCTTGTGGTCGGGCCCCTATCCCTGACCTTCCAGAGAGCTATTTTTTAGCACTGGAAACCTAAAACCTAAAAAACGAGACGAAACAGCCTAAAACCAAGACGTAAAATAGCCCTGGGACAGGTTTTTACGTCGGGTGCTATCTTTTAGCCCTCCTGGAAGGTCAGGGATTGCATCCTCGGCCCGCTCGTTCTCCTCGTCCTGGCTCCGTCTGAGCCGCGGGCCGTTCGCGCGCAGGAGGCGCTGTCCCGGGTGGGCGGCGGCCGCGCAGCGCCCGAGGGCGACGAGACCGGGCCTCGTGCCGCAGAGACAAAGGGCGGGCGGCGGGCCGAGGGCAGGGGGCGGCGCCGCCATCGCCCGCCCTCCCCCGTCGTCCTCCTCCCCCTCCTCCTGCTCCTCCTCCTGCTCCTCCTCCTCCTCCTCCCTCCTCCCTCCTCCCTCATCCCTCCTCCCTCGTCCTCCCCCCCTCCCTCTTCCCTCTTCCCTCCTCCCTCTTCAACCCTCCTCCCTCCTCCTCCTTTTCCTCCTCCCTCATCCCTCCTCCCTCCTCCTCCCCCCTCCTCCCTCCTTCCTCCTCCCCTCCTCCCTCCTCCGTCCTCCTCCGTCCTCCTCCTCCTCCTCCCCCTCCTCAGCCTCCTCATCCTCCTCCTCCTCCTCCTCCTCCTCCCCCCTCCTCCTACATCCTCTCCTCCTCCTCCCCTCCTCCTCCGCTCCTCCTCCCTCTCTCCTCCCACCTCCCTCCTTCTCCCCATCTTCTCCCTCCTCCCTCCTCCTCCTCCTCCTCCTCCTCCTCCTCCTCCTCCTCCTCCTCCTCCTCCGCCTCCTCCTCCTCCTTCTCCTCCGCCTCCGCTCTCCTCCCGCCCGCCCGCCCGCCCTGCCGCAGGCCCCGTGCTCCCTGGCCCAGCCGCGGGCCGCCCGTTCGAGGCACGCGGGTGCTTCGACCTTCCCCTCGGTGCCAGGAAGGCTGCCCTGGCCTTCGGGCTTCGTCGTGCACTGGTGCTAAGTCGGGCACGTCCCCCTACAGGAGGGACATTCAAAAAGAGTAAACACTAGTATGTGGCCGACTTTCATATTATCTGTTGTGTAATATTTTCTCTTTCGTCCAACATCCGCCTTTAGGGGGACATGCCCGACCTAGCACTGGTGCCAGGGGGAGGGCCTACGGCGCTTGCGCGCCTCCTTCCCGCCTCTCTGGATCCTGCGGCCTCTCGCCTCCCGCTCGCTCGCCCGCCCGCCCGCCCTCCCCTCCCTCCCTCCCACCTCCTCCTTCGTTTGGGGCTCAATGACTTCTGCCGTCCCTCGACTCGCGCAGCCACGATTTGCTCCAGATGTCCTTGGAGATGTCTTGGAGTTACCTCGATTGATCTCGATTTACTTGGATTGCCGGGGTTTCCTTGGACGGATCCCACCTCCTCTTCCGCCACAATAAGTTATATACACAGGCGCCCTCAAGTGCATTGTTCCTTGGCCTCGGGGGGGGCGGTGTATATCCGTAAGGACGTCGCCTTCTGCCGCCGCCCCCTCCCTCTCTCGGAGAATGGAGTATACAAGACCTATGTTTGAGGCCTCGGCGCCGTCGTGAAGCAGCGTCGGAACTCCGAACGGGGGCCGCCGTCTTAGGCCCCTCTTGAACTGTTTTGGGACGCTCTTGAGAGCCTCTCGGGCCGTCTTGGGGCGTTATTGTGTGGCCTCTTGGGGGCGTCTTGGAGCGTCGGGAGCCCGCAAAGGCGAGCGTGCCCAAGTCCATCAGAAACCTACTCTCGGGGACCTCTTGGGAGCCTCCTGGGCTGCTTGAAACCATCCTGGGCGCCTTGGAGCACTCTTGGGCTGTCCTGGAGGCCGCTTGTACCATCTTTGCGGCATTTTATGAAGGATTGTGCCCTCGAAAGCACGAATACTGAGTACTTGCGCATGTTCATGATTTCGGGGACTCCGAGGAACGCGTAATTCACATGGGATCGTGGCTTCGAGGATGCAGATCTTGTATGATTTACAAGGGATGATGGCCTAGGAGGCGCCATCATTGAATGATGTATGATGAATTTTGGTCCAGAGCGCGACCACATCGTAATTTGAGAGGGTTATGGCTTGGGAGACGCGAATATTGACGAGGGAATATGGCCTCGGGGGCGCGAACATGGAGTAATCCACGCGCAAGGGATTCTTGTTTCGAGGGCGCGAATCTCATGTTTTTTTTTTGCGTGTCCCAGGACCCCCCAGAAATTCTGAGAACCCCCCCAGGTGAAGGTAACCACGCCCATTCTCGGCCCCCCCCCTCGCGCGGACTACCACGCCACAGCAGGGAGCATAACACAGAGTTGCAACATCGGAGGCTGGAGACTGGACCTGGAGCAGGGGGCAGCAGGCCCAAGCCGTGGAGCCTGATGGCCCCGCAAGGGGGGCCAGCGGATGTCGCCACCGAGACACCGCCGCCCTCCCTGCAGGTGCACGCAAGACTCGTCGGAGGGCGTCACCCACGCCGATCCTCACTGCCGCAAGTGTTCTGCAGAGGTTCCTCATCATCCTTGCTCTTCCTCGTTCTCCTCCTCATCGTGCCTGGCACTTCTGCGCATCTCGAAGAAGAGAACGCGGCATACACATAAACTTGTGGCGCTTCGCGCGGAATTTCTGCCTCCGGCGCCGCCCTTGGCGCGCTCCGCGCGCCAGGGAGGGGTGTCCAGCGCAGATCCAAGAGATCCCTTGGGAGCGCCAACATTTTATGTTTATGCCGTTTTTTCCTTCCAGCGTCAGGCTGAACCTCGGGAGATGCAGACGGCCTCAGAGTCGCCTCAGGGTACACCCTTGCTCCGGGGAGTCGGTGTGCTCGAAGAATCGCCTGGTATCGTCTGGAGGTGCTCTTCTGGCGCCCGATTTGTTTTTCGAGAGGCTTCTTCCGTGTATCTCCTATTCGCCGAGTGATACGTCTTCGCGCGTTTTCTTTAGCACTGCTGCCTTGAAGAAGCCCCTCTGCTCCATTTTATATCGCCCATGTCATGAGCTCTGAGTCGGGTATAGCGTGCCACTTTCCTCTCGTGGGCCTCGGGTGTCAGGTCGGAGCCGACTCGGCACCTTGATTTCGGAGCCCACTCCTCGGGGCCTCGGCATTTTCAATCGCCGTGTTTCAGCAGTTTCGAGTGCGATGTAGATCTGGTTTGTCTGTAGGTCTGACCTTTCTTCTCATCCTCAGCATCGTCCTCATATTCATTCTTGACGCTTCGCGCATCACCACAACCTGCCCATCCAGAAGCGATGCCCAGGAGAGTCGTCTTGAGAACGGACGAGAATAACAAATACTGGAATCGAGGTTGCAGCAGTCGAGGAGCTTCTTGGGGGCCTCTTGGAGTCATGTTGGGTCCCTCTCGCGATTAGCTGCTTGGACTTTGAGGACCTCTTGAGGGGAAGCCTCTTGCCTCTTGGTGGCATCCTGGAAGCCATCGGTCGAACATGGAATGGCCCATAATTGCCCCCCACTTGGAGTCCGGCAAATCGCTTCTTAAGGCCCGCTTGGGACGCTCTTGGGGCTCTCTTTGGAGTTGTTGGGGTCGTGTCGCAGCCACTAAAGACCTCCCTTCAGGCTCTCTTCGGCCATCTAGGAGCCGTCTTAAGGCTTCGGAAGCCCATCGGAAGCGAAACGGCGATGCAGCAACGATACTTTTGCTTGGAGGGATTTCGGCATCTTGGCGGAATCCTTCGGGATACCCTGTAGCCACGTGGAGCCGTCTTTGGGCTTCTTCGAGGCATGCTGGCGGCCATCTTGAATAGTTTTGGTTTATGATGTGCCAACTTTGAGGCCATGTCGGGCTATCCAGGGTCATCGTAGAGCTATCCAGAAGCCAGAGCGGACCCTCTGCCACCTCCCGCGCCCAACCTCCCGCCCAGACCCAGGACGGCATGTCTGTTCACAACGTCGACGCTCAGAGGTCTCGACTCCTTCCCTGGGACCGGCTTTTCCTCCCGAGCAGTCATTTGATTGTCCCGGGGCCCCGCGATGGCCCCCAGAGGCAGAAGCTTGCACAAACCCTCCCGTCGTAGTTGTTGTTACGACGCGAGGGTCCGTGTCTGGGGCTGTCCTGGGAGGGGCGCGGCTCCCGCCAGGAGGCGGCGCTGGCGCTGGAGGGGGTCGCCGTGCTCCCCGAGGCGGGGGACAACTGCGCGATCCTCAGGCGCAGGTGCGGGCGGCTGGGGGGTCTCCTGCCGGTACTCAAGGGCGCCCTCGAGGGCGCGAAGTTATTCGCGCTTCGCGCTTCGCGGTTCGGCTCCGATTCCTCCTCGTTCTCCTCTTCTCCCCTGGGAGGCGGCGCGAGAGCGCGAAGTGTATTCGCACTTCGCGCCTCGCGCAGCGCGAAGCGCGAATTTGGGAGCCCTTGTGTACTGCTGCGCGGAGGAGAAGGAGAAGAAGAAGAAGGACGTGTCAGAGGAGGAGAAGGAGCAGCAGGAGTGCCACAGCAGGGCGACGCACCGATACCACTACCCTTGCCTTGTGTTCGCCTTTTGGGGCTTCTGGGATGTCCTCGTCGCCACGGTTGGATTCGCCTCGAAACTTTTGTCGAAACGCACCCCTGAAAAGGTCTGGGTAGTATTGAGATCGGTACCTCCTTGTGTCCGCAGAGTGGGGCGCAGGATGATGATGGAGATATTTGTGATGAACGGTGATTTATCATGGCATCATGGTAATGGGGAGGAGTAGGAAGAGGAGGAGGAGGAGGAGGAGGAGGAGGAGGAGAAGTCTAGTTCTGATTCTAAAGGACGCAGGGGTCCCGCTCCAGGCAGGTCGCTTCAGACAAACTCTCGGCTCGCATCGGGGCATGCAGTTAGTGCCCGACTTGGGAGGCAGACCCCTCAGGAACCGAGACAAAAAACCTTCTTGCCCGTCTTCGAGGAGCACGGCACTCGGGACGTGCCGCCGCTTACCCTTCTCAATATCAAGAGGAAAAGAAACACACAGACACAATTAATCCTCGATTCCCAGGAAAATACGGGAAAATATGGGAATTGGGGGGAAGACAAAAACCCAGAAAATATAGGAAAATATAGGGTTGTTTTTATTTGTGTGTATTTATTTGTGTGTCCTAATTTCCCTTTATTCGAGGAGCACGGAACTCGGGACGTGCCGCCGCTTGCCCTTCTCAACACACGGGGAGGGTCGACGGCACGAGAGCCCCCACCTGACGGCCGCGCGGGCGGCCGTTGCCGCCCCACGGGCGTTGAGGCGTGCGTCTGTTATCCCTCTCCCCCCTCCCCCTCCTTGGCAGCGCTCGGGCGTGTGCACTTTTCCTTCGGTGATGACCATCGATGGGCTGTGCCGCTGGGTCAAGAGGAGCGCGGAGAAGTCGCGAGCCAGGCGCCTCTTGTATGACGATCATTGAGTTCATCTATTTTGCTGTCGCTTTCACTCGTTACCCCGTGCGGGGTGGCGGGTTCTTCGACTCTAAACGATACACAAAAAACAAGTAGTGGCCCGGACCCGAGGAAAAACAAAAAACAACAACAACAAAAAAAAAAACGGTGATGACCATCGAGCAGCATCTTGGTCCATCTTGCGAGCATTTTCAACGTACGAAGCCGACACGTGTGCAGAAAATTGACGTCCCAGCGATGGCAAGCCTCTTCTTCGACTCCAAGTTCACCCGTGGCCGACCAATCGAGTACAACCAACGATTCTGACATCGACATCAGTCCACCACCACCTGGAGCCCCCCCCACCAAACGGTGCCGATAGCGACAGTGACACGGACAGTGACGAGACTTGGGCCGATTACATCCGACGGTCGACACATCGTGCAGAACAGCCCATGCGATTACACAACATGACGGACTGGCTGAAAAAAACAGTGTCAGTTGCATTGGAGGCTCGCGGCGCAGGTGGCAGCAAACCCAGCGACAAGATGGACGATGGACACAAAGAGCGGACCAGTGGCACCCCGGCCACACAGCAACCAAAATAGTCCATCACCGCCAGGGTGGGACGACGACGGTGGTGTCGACACGATGCCGGGATAGCCACAGAGAGGGCACATGGCGACATGAACGATACCAGTCGGATCAACATCACGAAGCAGAATGCGATATGGCACAGTGGAGGCCGAACATGGGCGGAGTGCGAGTACGCGCGCATGGTTTTGCATGTGCATTGCGGGGGCTCCGGCCCGACTCGTCCCGCCAAAACGGGCGCGGTCCTGCGACCAGTGGGGCCGAATGGACGTTCGCCCGCTCGCCCTCTTCTTTTCTCATTTTTCTGTCTACTGTTAAGTCGGGCCTGTCTTTCTACAGGAGGAATATTCAAAAATTGTTTCGAAATGGTCTGGTGACGATTTTCCAACTATTTTCAATATTTGTGAAGATTGCTGACTATGTATGATTCCCTACCTAGGCTCTGCCTAGAAGGGTTCTTACTCTCTTAGCTTAAAGGGGCCGGGCAGTGGAAATCGCCCCGGGCGGTTCCCCCAGTCCCCTGGGAGCGGTTCCCCCCAGTCCCCTGGGAGCTTTAGCTTTAGCTTTAGCTTTAGCTTTAGCTTAGCTTTAGTTTAGCTTTAGCTTAGCTTTAGCTTAGCTGTAGCTTAGCTTTAGCTTAGCGTTTCGCTTAGCGTTTCGCTAGCTTTTCGCTTAGCGTTTAGCTTAGCTTTAGCTCAGGTTGAGCTTAGCTATAGCTTAGGTTGAGCTTAGCTGCAGCTTAGCTTTAGCTTAGCTTTAGCTTAGCTTTAGCTTAGCTGTAGCTTAGCTTTAGCTTGGCTTTAGCTTAGCTTTAGCTTAGCTTTAGCTTAGCTTTAGCTTAGCTTTAGCTTAGCTTGAGCTTAGCTGTAGCTTAGTTTTAGCTTAGCTGCTGCTCAGCTTTAGCTCAGCTTTAGCTCAGCTTTAGCTCAGCTTTAGCTCAGCGTTAGCTTAGCTTTAGCTTAGCTTTATCTTAGCTTTAGCTTAGCTTTTGCTTAGCTTTAGCTTAGCTTTAGCTTAGCTTTAGCTTAGCTTTAGCTTAGCTTTAGCTTAGCGTTACTGTTACTAATAATGCTGCTTTCCTAGGGGTTCCAACTCCTAGGTAGGGTCGCACTGGGATAATTTTTCTTCCAGGATCTGCCTGTAAGGCGACATGCCCGACCTGAGTCTTTTGTAGCGCTGTCTGTAAATCCTCAGATATTGCATAATATTTGATCTTCGCGTCAGGTGCGGCTTCCGGTCACAAACACGGCCTTCGCTTGGACAGAGCTGTTTTCCCCCTTCTGCCTTTTCTTCCTCCTCTCCTTCTCCTCCTCTTTCCTCCTGCTTGATGTCGTGTCAGATGTATTGTGTATTTGCGTGCCCTTTGGGGACGCTTACAGTTACAACGCAACATTTGTGCAGCAGCTGAGCCGAGAAGTACCCAAGGGAATTCACATCATTCGCCATCCGTGTATCATTTTGTCTCATCCATTTCCTCCAGGGGCCGGTGATGCTGTTCTTTCTGGCATGGGCCAGTGCTTCAGCAGCCGATGTGCGTGACAGCCGTTCTGGGCAACCACGCTGCCCACTCTCCCCTCTCGCCCTCCTCGTCTCCCCTCCCATCCCCCTCGTCCTCCTTGTCCTCGTCTCCTCGTGCTCCTCCTCGTCCTCCTCGTCCTCCTCGTCCTCGTCTCCTCTCCCCTCCCCTTCCCCTCTCTTCCCCTCTCTCCCCCTCGTCTCCTCGTCCTCCTCGTCCTCCTCGTCCTCCTCGTCTCCGTCTCCCTTCCTCCTCTTTCTCCCCTCCCCTCCTCCTCTCCTTCGGCGTCGCGTATGTCTGTTCCACACGCTCGGCGAGCAAAGCAATTGCACTCAAATGTCACATTTCTTTTCAAATTCGTGCCGCACCTCGCCGTCCTCATCCCGATGCCTTTGAACCCAGCCTTCAGCGCAAGCACCTTTGGCACCAAGCTCGGCGCAAGCACCGTTAGCACCAAGCTCGGCGCAAGCACCGTCAGCACCAAGTTAGGGTTAGGGTTAGGGTTAGGGTTAGGGTTAGGGTTAGGGTTAGGGTTAGGGTTAGGGACTCAGCTGTACATGGAGCCAACCGTGGGAAGCCTTCTGCTTCTGAACATCCACGTTTTGGCTCCAGCCGTGGAGGCGTGTTGTCCGCTCTCACCTTCTCCCACCCCAATAAGCCCACACGTCTGACCGTGCAGGACACCAGGCAGCGCAGTCTACTGGTGGGTGCAGCGGCACTGCTCAGCCAGGGGCTGGTCCAGGGCACCTCCACACAGAGCAGTCGGCCCAAGGTCCTGAGGGGCGGTGTCAGGGTCTCCGTGACTCCACTTCTCACGTAGAGGCAGAACCCTCAATTCGCTGCTGCAGGAGGATCCTGGGTTTGCAGGGGGCCGGCCCAAACTCAGCCAATTTACCTTTGGAGCTTAATCCAAGGCCACACTGATCACATCGTAAACATAGTAGCCCTCCTGACATAGGGACGATGGCCCGCATCACGGAGCATGCAGAGACGCTCAGATTGAGAGGTAACGGTGGCGCGTGTTCGCCGCGGCTCGCGGAGTCCATTTCGCTCCCTCTCTGACGAAACATTTGTTCCTCTGCACAGTAAGTAAACACGTCAACACGTTCAGGGCGAGCTCGTCCGCCCTAAGGGTGGTGGCGGCGTGCGCATCGCTGACCTGGGCTTGCTTCGCAGCCCAGTCTGCCAAGCTGTCCGCCCTTTTGTTCGGATGCACTTTACTTTGTAAAAGGTGCATGCTCCGGGCTTGGGCCTGGGTAGGGTGTCCGTTCGTGCAAATCACGTTGATCGAACCCCTTCGTTCTTTCAAGGCTCTGTGTCATGATGGATCGCCCACAGATCCAACAGGCTAGATTACCTCGAAGCTCGCAACCTTCTTCTGGCCCCTTCGACAACCATCAAACATTCACGGTAGATCTGAGCTTCGCTGGTCGTTGCCATGGCCATCTGAATCAACACAACAAGTTCGGCACGTGGCGAAGACTGTCCTTCGCATGGGAGGGTGCCGCAGCGCACGGCGCCAACATCACCATTGGCACCTGAGTGGGCAATGGATCGGCCGCCTCGGCGTGGAGTTCCCCCCCGATGCGCCGATGCCCCCGACTCCACCCCGAATGGGCCCCCCCCTGGCATCGCTCGGACGCGTGCGTTTTTTTCCTCGGCGAGGACCACCGAGGAGCATCCCTGACCACTTGCCGAAAAAAAAAAAAACCACGCACGAAACCGACAAAAAACAGAGGAAATGGACGTCCGAGCGATGGCCAGGAATGGGCCCCCCAGGAAGACAGCGGCCCCCCGCCCAGTGCCAGACCCTCCGGAGGGGGACGGTGGCCACCGGAGGCAGCCAGCCCGGGGAGGCCTCTCCCCTGACCTTCCAGAGAGCTATTTTTTAGCACTGGAAACCTAAAAACCGAAAAAGCGAGACGAAACAGCCTAAAACCAAGACGTAAAATAGCTCTGGGATAGGTTTTCACGTCGGGTGCTATTTTTTAGCCCTCCTGGAAGGTCAGGGTCTCCTCGGCAGCGCGCCCGCGCGGCGCGCGAGCCCTCCCCCGCGGGGCCCCTCTTCTGCGCGGCGGCCCTCCGCAGGCCGGGACCCGCGGTCCGCTGGGGCCACCACCGGCCCTGCACCCGGGGAGGGCTCTCCCCGTCGCCTCGTCCTCCCCGCCGCCCTCCCCAGACTCAGGAGGGGAAAAACACACACACAGAGACACAGTAAATCTTCGATTTCCAAGAAAATGTAGGAAAACATGGGAAGTGGGGGGGAAGACGGGAACCCGCCGCCCTCCCCAGACTCGGGGCGGGCGAAAGGGGGCTCGAGTGTGTCCATAATCCACCGCCTGCCGATGCCCCCGGAATTGATCCTCCAGGCGGTGGTCATCTAGAAGTTCCCGCCTTGGACTCGAGGGTGTCTGGGTCTCCTGCCCGGCAGCCACGAGCCTTTCGGGTCGGGCGAAAGGGGGGGATAGCAAAGGGGGGGTTTGAGAATCAGCTCACGTAGCTGGTTTTCCCGGCGCCTCCTGGCGCCGGAGGCGGCTACGTATCGAGGAATGGGCCCCTCGGTGAGGCCGAAACCAGCTGCATGCAGCAAATTTCGTACCCCCCCCCTTTCCCAATCCCCCCCTTTCGCCCGGCCCGACAGACCCCCTCGAGCCCTGGCAAAATTCACGGCCGGAGGTTTTTGGCTACCTTCGGCCTATCGGTCGGAGGGAGGAGAAGCGATACCAACAGCACCAGGGGGCCCACCGCCAGCGAGGAGGTCCACGATGCCTCTCCGAGCTTGAGGCTGGGGATGTCTCGAGCGAGAGGGGGGGACCACACCACCAGGGAGTTCCCCCTTGCCTCCTCGCATCTCCTCGCCCTGTTGGTGTTGGTGTCGCCTTTCCTTGTTCCTATTCGGGGCCCTTACCGGCCTCGGGACCGTCAACAAAGCGATTCAGGATGAAAAACTGGTCCCAGGGAATGGGTGGAGACCTCTCGAGGTCGACGTCACGACAAAAACATGACGTCGGGGGCCTGGGTCCTCCTCCTCCTCATCCTCCTCCTTCACTCTGCCCTTCTCATCCCCTTTCTTCTCCTCCAGCTCCTCCGTCCTCGTTCCCTTTCTCCTCCTGCCTCCTGCTCTGTCGTCCTTGCCGTCGTTCTCGTCCTTGTCCTGGTCGTACCTCCTCCTGTTCCCCTCCCGTCCCATCCTCCCCGTAAGACTTCCTCCCCGTTCTCGTTCTCGTTCTCCTCCTCCTCCTCCTCCTCCTCCTCCTCCTCCTCCTCCTCTTCCTCATCATCATCATCATCATCATCATCATCATCATCATCATCATCATCATCAGCATCATCATCATCATCAGCATCATCATCATCATCATCATCATCATCATCATCATCATCCCTTCTCCCCTCATCCCCGCACCTCGCCCTCATCGTTCGATGGGCTGCTGCTGCCTTTGGTGCGCTCGTAGAGGTTGGCCGCTGGCACGCTCGTGAAGCTCTTCTCTGGCGAGGAGGCCGTGGTCGACGCCACCGTGTTGGAAGGCCAGTTGCCATCGCGGCGGGTGGGCAGCGAGGGACGGAGCGATACACGGGGCCCAGTTCGAGTCCATCGATCCGATTCGATATCGAGTTCGGACGGCCCCATTCGATTCGATTCCGATGTTCTGGCGATCCGATTCGTCCGGATGCTGGCATGGCGCTGCTGCGCATCCTGGCGCTGCGGATCCGGTCCGGTTCCGATTGTGCGCCGATGCCGCCCGATTCGTCAGAGTTTGCGAATCGGTCCAATCTTCCGATTCAAAGCTGATTGATTTTGACAGCAGGCGGCAGTGAGAACCGGAACGGGGGCGATATTTAGTTCGGGCTTCACTGTCGGCGTCGCCGCGGACTTTCCCAGGTTCAACAAGTAGCCTGCCCAACAGCGGCCGCTGTCGGTTTTGGATAACCCTGGGAGGAGGAAGAGGAGGAGGAGGAGGAGGAGGAGGAGGAGGAGGAGGAGGAGGAGGAGGAGGAGGAGGAGGAGGAAGGAGGAGGAGGGAGGAGGGGGAGGGGAGAGGGGAGGAGGAGGAGGAGGAGGAGGAGAGGAGGAGGAGGAGGAGGAGGAGGAGGAGGAGGAGGAGAATGAGCAGGAGGAGGAGGAGGGTCGTGTACAACGCTGGTCGAAGAGTAGATCTGCATCAACGCAGCTGCTTGGAGCTCCGGAACGGATTTCTCGGATCGGCGCTGTGCCCCCTGGCGGCGCTCCTGGTGCCACTCCTGGCGCCACTCTCGCGCCCCCAGGGGGGGAGGGGGCCCAGCGAAGATCCAAAACGTCCGCGCGGACCTCCGAAAGTCTTTGTCTACAGTGGGGGCCCATGCCTAGAAACACCAAGCTTGCCTCCAGGCTGCCCTGGGTTTCTTGGGTTTCGATGGTTTAGCTATGGAGAGCGTGGCGTTCCCACACCAAACATCGATGGACGTCCTGGGGTCTCAGGGTTGGGTTTCTCATGGAAGGGCCCTTGATGTATGCAGTTGTTGGTCCTCCTGTTGGGGGGGGGCTAGGCTCAGGGGGGGATGCATCGACCTCCGATCGCCCATTCGTTGCAAATGGGGGGGCCAGATAGCCCACCCCGCCCGGGACTGTGAGGACCCCGCCCGGGACTGATCGGCGATAGGCCCCGCCATCGGGGCCTATCGCCGATCTATCGCCGACTCAAGCTCAATGTCCCCCCTCCTCCTCCTCCTCCTCCTCCACCTCCTCCTCCTCCTCCTCCTCCTGCCCCCCTCCTCCTTCTTCTGCTCCTCCTCCTCCTCCTCCTCCTCCTCCTCCTCCCTGAGTCACTCCTCCCGAGCCGCTCCCCCCTAAACGTTGTCCCCGAGCCGCTCCCCCAGTGAGCCGTTTCCCCCGAGCCGCTCCCCCCCCAAACGGTGCCCTTCAGAGGGGCCAGGGAAAACAGGAAAGTGAGCAGGAGGATGAGGAACCATTTTAGCTCAAGCCATTTCGACTCAAGCCGTGGTGCCGTGTCATTCTGGAGGCGCTTTCCGATGTTGGACATCGGTTGAGGGTATCAAGAAGGCGCTATGTCCCTCGAAGCGCTGATGAAGAACCCGAGCGTTGGACTTAGCAAAGTTCGAAGGTTCTGTCGTCGGCTCTATGACCACGCAGTCGCTTGCCTGCACCTGTCGTTCTTCAGAGAGGTGTGGTTCACTGCACAGTTTCCAACGCCGTCTCCACTTCTGGGGCGCGTGCGACCTCCGTGTGCGACCCGGCCTTGCCTTGCCTTGCCGTGCAGGTCAAGGACTGCGGTCGGACAAGGCAGTGGAGCGCAGCACTGCGGTTGCTCCGCGAAGGAGTTCGATTTGGTGTGCAATTCGTCCCAAACCGCTACGTTGCCACTGTCAGCTCATACAAAACAGGCGAGCAGTGGCAACACGCGTTGTTAGTGCTCATTGAGATTCGGGAGGCGAAGCTGGAGCCCAAGGTCATCAAGGGCAGCGCTTGGATCAGCGCGTGTTCTAATGGCAGGCGGTGGCAGCGGGCCCTGTCGCTGCTCAGCGAGATGCTTGATAAACAGTGGAGCCCACTTTCGTCAGCCACAGCGCTGGGACCAGCGCGTGTGAGAGGGGTGACCAGTGGCAGCCGACGCTTGCGCTGCCGAGCGAGATCCGGGAGGTGAAGCTGGGGCCCGACGTCATCCACCCCGCAGTCAACTCGCATTCCTTGGCCGCGCCCCTGTCGAGAAGCTTCGAGACGGGCGTCCAAGGCCGTCGCGTCCTGATCGCGCACCCTCACGATACGGGGTGACTGTACAGTCGGGGCCCTGAAGAAGGGACCCTTTTCGTTGGGGAGGGGCTCCGCGTTCCTGAAGTGTTTCGCAGCTTGCCTCAGGCTTTCCTTATGTCTTCGATCGGACATCGAAGTTTGACTTGTGGAAAAAGGGGCCTCGTTCCTTCTTTTGAGCTCCTTAGGTCAAGGCCCCGACTGTACACCCAGGCGATGCTTAAGAAAACTTAAGTTTTCGTCCAGAGTCTCGATTATTCTTAATGTTTCAACGTAAATCCTAAGATCTGAATCGAAATGTTGGGTTTTTATTCCAGTTCTGAGACCATGAATTTCTTAACCCATGATTTCTTGAGCATTTCGCAGGCTGTACAGCCCCCGGGGCCCAGCGCGCGCCCGAAGCACGCGGGGGGCCCGCGCCCGCCGGAGGAGGAGGAGGAGGAGGAGGAGGAGGAGGAGGAGGAGGAGGAGGAGGAGGAGGAGGAGGAGGAGGAGGAGGAGGAGGAGGAGGAGAGGAGGAGGCGGAGGCGGAGGAGGAGGCGGCGGCCCCGCCCGCGGAGCGACGCCGCCCTGGCCTGGGAGGGCCCCGCGAGCGCCCCCGGAAGGCCCCCCCCCGGCGGCGAGCGCTCGCGCCCCCTCCTGCAGCGCAGGAGGCCTCCCAGATGATCGGCCCGTTTTCCACCACCACCACCATAAGTTGGAGGGGGAGGGGATCCTCCTCCTCCTCCTCCTCCTCCTCCTCCTCCTCGTCCTCCTCCTCCTCGTCCTCCTCCTCCTTCCCCCTCCAACTTATGGTGGTGGTGGTGGAACACACGCCCATCACCAGAGGGGCCCAGGACAGGCCTCCCGCAGTTGTCCACGGTGTTGACGACCACGGGGTGCTCGGAGTGTTGCACGGCGTTCCGCTGTCGTCGCGTCGGCGCCAGCCTTCTTGCAACATGCACCTCTGACGTGCGTGGTCTCCCAGGTGGCCTCCCAGAGGGCCTCCGAGGGGGGCCCACGAGGGCGTCCCACTCTGAGATGCGGTCGGGCGGCGTCTCCCCAGACTTCCTCCTCGTGCGATCGCTCTCTGGCCCCAGGACGCCCAGCCCGCCCCGAGGGGGCCTCCCGAGGCCTCGCAAATCCTCCAGAGGGCGGGGCCAGGCAGCTCCCGAGAGATCCCCTGCTGCCGCCCTGGGGAGAAGGCGGCCGCACAGCTCCCCACGACGGCCCCACGAGAGGCCCAACAGGGCCAACTATGGAGCGCCCCCCGCCCCTCCTGCCCGCCCCCCACTGCCAGCAGGCCCCCAAGACGCCCCCCCCCCCCCCCAGAGGCTCCCAGACGGCCTCCAGGACTCACTCCCCAGCGGCTCCCGGAGAGCCTCCAGCAGCTCCCTCGAAGCGGCTCTCACATGCTCTAAGAAGGCTCCATATCATTCAAGAAACTGTACCCCACGGGGGCTTCCGGAAGGCCTCCAGCAGCTGCCTCACAAAGGGTCCCAATAGGCTCTTAGAAGTACCAGATGATTGGAACACAAACAATGCGAGCTGGCCTCGCAGGGCCCCAAGACGGCCCCAGAGGGCTCCAAAACGGCCTCCAGAGTGCCCACCAGAGTCCCGACAGGACTTACCCAGAGGCTCCCACGACAGCTTCAAGAGAGAACCGAAACCAGGGCACATGATGCAGTTCACAAAGAGCCCCAGACGAACGGACGATGTGACCCTGCTGAACTTGGACACCCCACGCGCGAGCCACCTTGTCCTCGGCGCCTTCACGCCTCACCTCGCTACAGGGGTCGCGGATTAGTCTCTGAGCGTCGGCGACCAGTCCGCGCGGATTTCTTGGACTGGCGCTGCCGGGCCTTCCTGGCGGCGCCTCCAGCGCGGCCCCTGGCGCGCTCCGCGCGCCGGGGAGGGGGATCCAGTGCCGATCTACAAGATCCTCTCGGACCTCCGAAAGTTCATGTTGATGGCGTTTTGTTTTCTTCCAGTCGGGGCTGCCGAGCTGGCCTTGCGCGCCCGAGGGCCCCACGGGGTCCGAGCGCGGCCCCCCGGGGAGGCCGGAGGCGGCGGGAGGCCACCCCCCAAAGTTCGAGCCCGCGAGCCCCGACGACCACGGACCCAGACATCGCTCGGACGTGTGCGTTTTTTCCTGGCATCGCTCGGACGTGTGCGTGTTTTCCTCGGCGAGGACCATCGAGGAGCATCCTTGATCATTTGCCGAAAAAGCTACGCACGAGACCGAAGAAAAACGCAGGGAAGGGGCGTCCGAGCGCTGCCTGGGGAGGCGGCGGGAGGTCATCCCCGCCCCCAAGTTCCAATTTGCTCGATGCGTCGGCACTGGGCTTCGAGCCCGGACGCAGACATCCGGCCGCTCCAGTTCGCGCGACGCGTCGGCCCCGGGGGTCTCGACGGCGTCCCCGCAGACTCACGCGGTCCGTCCCGCGCCGGCAGCGGGCCCCGGGGCCGTCGCGGGGCGGCCGCCCTGTGACGGCCCTGCAGGGGCCCGCTGCGGGCTCCCAGAGCCCGGCGGAACGCTAAAATCTGGCGGCCCAGTTCTGTCCGACGCGCCCGATGTCAGCGAGCGAAGAACGGTATAAAATCAACTTTTTCGCTGTCGGGGGCGGCTGGAAAGTTTATACCCCTACGGTGCCACCGCAAGGGTATGAGCTTTCCAGCCGCCCTGGGACAGGCGCCCCCTGACAGCGATAAAGGTTTATCTTATACCGCTCTTCGCCCGTGAACAATTCAGGAGGGAAAAAAAACACACAGACACAATTAATCCTCGATTGCCCAGAAAATA